TTCCAGGCCAGGGTGAGATGTGCTGTAGCCAGTCACAGGCTGCACGGGTGGGGTGTGAGCGGCTACCAGGCAGGTCTGCCTTGACTGACAGCCTGGCTACACGGCCTTCAGTGATGCCGTGTGCTCTCAGCAGGCCTTATGTGACAAGGTAGGCTTTACTATGAACCTGCAGGTCTAGGCCCAGTCCTCACCCACAGACACACACACACTCACAGTGAGTTGGTTCCGACCCACTGCAATAACTCAGTGACATTTGCATCCAATATCTCACACTACCATTATAAAATCCTAGCACTGATAAAATCATATAATCCTTCAGGTTGGAAAAGACCTCTAAGATCATCAAGCTCAACCATTAACTCAGCACTGTCAAGTCCACCACTAAACCATGTCCCTCAGTGTGACATCTACACATCTTTTAAATACCTCCAGTGAGTGGAGAGGTAGTGACTCCAGCATTTCCCTGGGTAGCCTGTTCCAATGCTTGACGACCCTTTATATGAAGGTATTTTTTCCAATATCCAACCTAAACTTCCCCTGGTGCAATCTGAGGCCTTTTCCTCTTCGCTTGTTATCTGGGAGAACAGATCCCCACCTGGGTACAACCTCCTTCCAGGCAGTTGTAGAGATTGATAAGGTCCCCCCTGAGCCTCCACGCTGAACACTCCCAGCTCCCTCAGCTGCTCCTCATCAGACTTGTGCTACAGACCCTTCACCAGCTCCATTGCCCTTTTCTGGACACACTTTGGCACCTCAATACCCATCTTGTAGTGCGGGGGCTGGAACTGAACACACAATTTGAGGTGCAGCCTCACCACTGCCCAGGTCCTCCTGGTCATGCTATTTCTGATCCAAGACAGGATGTCATTGGCTTTCTTGGCCACCTGGGCACACTGCTGGCTCATGTTAAGTTGCTGTTGACCAGCACCCCCAGGTGCTTTTCCCTGGGCAGCTTTCCAGCCACTGTTCCCCCAGCCTGTAGCACTGCCTGGGGTTGTTGTGAGCCAAGTGCAGGACCTGGCACTTGGCCTTGTTGAACCTCATCCCACTGGCCTCAGCCCATTGATCCAGCCTGTCCAGATCCCTTTGCAGAGTCTTCCTACCCTCCATCAGATCAACACTCCCAACCAACTTAATGTCATCTATGAACTCCCTGATGCTGCCTTTCATACCCTGATCCAGATCACCAATAAAGTTATTAAACAGGACTGGCCCCAATACTGAGCCTTGGGCAAGACTCTGGGCTTGGTCATCCAGCCAGCTACTGGAAAGTGCACACACCCATACAATGGGAACACAGTTTCCCCAGGAGAGTGCTGTGGGAAACACTGTCAAAGGTTTTACTGAAGTCTAGGTGGACTGCATCTGTCAAAGATAGCTGCTAGCCTATCATCTCCAAAAGAGACTTTTTTGGGAAAGCAAAGCCTTTCAAGAACTCATGACATCTATTCTGTTGGTCTGAGCCTCGGAATCTGCATCCCAAACCCTCAGAAGTAGAGTGAACAGCCATGCAGAAAACTTCATGCTGAACCGTGCTGTGGTCACTGTGGAGGGAAGGTGCTGAGGGATGTCAGGAGGGAAATACGACCAACCACATGGACTTGAGGGTCAGCAGGGGCTTAGGAAACATCAAAGCAAAAGAGCCAGAATGGCTTGGTCTGATCTACCCTGGAGCTGGCAGAGAACTTCCTTCTCCTCTTGCTGCCTGTGAATTTTGACCATAGTAGCTAATCTGTCCCACCATTTCCATATGAAGAAGAACTAAGACAGATCCAGCCTCCTGAAAGAAAGTTTTATCTGTTAATATTACCAAGTTCTACATACCTCACCATACTAGAAGTGGGCTTTTCTACAGCTAAGAAATGTGTTCTGTGCACCTTTAGTCCCTGCCCTTACTGGATGTGCATCACCTTGTGTAAAATTCTTCCCACAGCCTTTATTCCTATATTCTGGATTAAGGCCGTCAGTGTTCACAAAAGCAGAGTAAACTACTGGCAATTACACTGCCAACACAAGCCTTCAAGAAATGTACAGTGTACAATTCCCTGGTACTTATATTTTTTTTATTCCATATTAGCTGAGGGTACCAGTCCATAGGAAAGGACATCTGGGCCCTATTTGCAAAAATGGTGGTTTGTGGGTTACAATTTGTGTGTGCCAGTGGGATTTTGGAAGGGAGCAATTCAGCACTTGAGCACATTTCATCGTTTTCATATATGCCAGAGGAAATACGTGTAGTTACATAGGCCCAAAGAGATCAGGAAGATTATTTTTACACTGAAACATTTTATACTTTTACAGCATTTACACAATTCCTCTTAAACCACTGTTTTCCTTTTTAAAATTATCATCAGTGTTTGTTTCCTGTGCGAAACCTGTTTTGTGTCTGACCAATTAAAGTGAAGATAAATGTATCAGGAAGCTGTTTTGAATACAGTGCCTCAGCTGCAGAATACAACTTCTCTGAGTAATTGAAATGAAAGTCAGCATCAGTAAAAATAAATTGCATAATTCAGTTGTGGCTGGAAAATTACTATTGAGATTGGCAACTTGATGCAACTATTTTTATTACTTTCCATTGCATTAGGTAGAGTAATAAATACTTCATAAGAATAATACAGCAAGCTTATTTTATTCCATATTGTAGATATCAAACAATACTGCTAGCAAAAGATTGCCTTTAGGGCAGGAAATGTTTTATTCTCCACTCCTGTTCAGTCAAGAGTCTTTCTGCTGGTTCTGCCAACAAGGATGCCAATTAGTGTCAAGTAACATTTTGGTACTACTGATGAGAGACAAAACAAAGGAAGCATAGTATGGTGAAATCAATTTACTGTATTAAGAGACAGAAAGATATCTGTCTTGTTTTTAAATTGGATTTAGAACTCAGTAAGATGGGTGGGAGGGTGTTGGGGAGAGAATACCACTCCTGCCGTTTCACAGTTTATACGCCTAATTCTGTACTGGGAGTTTTCATTTTGAGCTCCCTTTTTAGAGGCAGCCAACATTACACGAACCTTCAAAACACACAGATCATATCCAGTTGCTAAGGTGAACCCCAAACCAGCTCTGTGTTAATTTTGCTAGTACTTTCATCAAATTCCTAACATTATCTAGACAAATTGTTGCAGTGAAATCCAGAGAAGAATGAATTCTCTTGTTTAGGAGTGTGAACAAAGCATGTCCACTCATAAAGATAAATCTCAACAACACAATTTGATTTTACTTTACTTTCCCTCAAATCAGTATGAAAATCTCCACTGAGTTATCTTAGTCCCAATAAAAGCTGAACAAGGAAGATGACAGTGCCTTGGAGTGATAACCTGCTATTGACAAGTGAGAAGGCCACTTCCTCAGCAATCAACCAATTCCCAGAGCTGTGCCTTTACTTCATGAGTTTCAAATCTCTTTCTAACAGCGGGCTTTGCATTACACATGCTCTTGATTACTAGAAGAGGATGGGCAGGGGATAATCTGCAGAACTGGTAAGGATTTCAGTAGCAAAGTAAACACAGCTTTGCACTAAATGTCAAGTCCTAACTTTATTTCCTCTGCAAAAATATAAATATCAGTGTAAATCTCACTTTTCTCTTTGTTTTTGTTTGTGTCTGGTTTTGGTGTTTGGGGGAATTGGAGGGTTTTTTTGGGGGGGAGGGGTTTAGGTTTTGTTTGGTTGGTTGCTTTGGTTGTTTTTAAGGAAAGTTTACCACGTATGTAATATACAGAAAATGCTCAGGTAAAAATAGGAGTGAAATCATTTCTGCTGTAAAGAGAAGGGGTGGCATACCTTTCCTGTCCATCAAGCTCCAAGTAGCTGGCATACTATAAATCATAGGAAGCACAGAAGTAATTATAGAACTGGAAGCTGATTACTGTAAACATTCAGAAGTAGCTCCTAGTAATTGCAAGTTAATGTGAGCCTGATTACAACCATGACAGAACTGTGCATTAAAACTAGGTTTTCTCACAAAGTAACAAGTGACCTAGCCAACTAGCACCTTTCATAGTAACAACCTGTTAATATTGTACATTTTTCGTTCTCTGTCAGAATTAGGGTTGATGTGACAACACTCAGAACACCAGGATCTGATTACTTTCCCGTTGGGCACTAAACAATGTAGCTTCTGCCAGCTTGTTCTGTCACCTCCTGGCCACCCCTTCATTGCTCCCAGTGGCACTGCAACACATTTATGGTGGGAAATGCCTGGTCACAGCAGGGCAACTTTCACTGAGAGAAGATGATGCCAACATGTAAAATGGGGTTTAGTGTCAGGGGTGTTCATGTCTTCGCCCTTGGGGAATTACAGAGAGAAAACTCTGTCTCCTCCACCCCTAACGGAAGGAGGTCCTTGAGGAAGATGTATCCACCAGACACATTGTACTGATCCATGGAGAAATTTTGATTCCTGCCTCAAAGAAGTTATGTGGGCAGAACAAATACAATAACACTTCAACCAAAAGATATCCTCTTTCTTGCACAGACATACTAGAACAACTCCACCGCATGACCAACAGGGAAAATTGCTTTTCTGGCATTAGATTGTGCTCTGCTCCTGTCTTCAAATAGGGAAATATATAGAACCTCAAATTTTTACTCTGCATAGAGAAGTTAGCTTATTTTTGGCTCTAATCCCTATTTGATCCTTACAAAGCTATTTACCTCAATTATAAATAATGCTGATAGCAAGTTCTACAAGTTAATTACCACAAGTATAGGAGAATTGATTTTCATTCACCTCTTTATGTGGATCTTATACACATCTTATACAATTTCAAATTCTAGCTGTATTCTTCATTTGAGGCAGAATTTTCCGAATTAATACAATGAGCTTTCAAAAAATCCACCCTTTTACTAAATAAAGTTACCTAGACTCCTATCTAAAATCATTTAGAACTTAAGCATACTATAATCGAGAAGACAAGGGCCTCTCCACTTGATTTGACCAGAAGAAAGTGCTATAGTAAATGTAGCTTTTACTACTTGGCAGTAAACGTCTCACCGTGTTGAATAATTCCATGCTCCAAAAGCCTGCGGCCGAGCTGCTCTGCTTCAGTCCGTGTCGTGGCCTCTCCTTCCTGGATCAGCCAGTCAAGGAATTCTGATGCTACAAATGTCCGTTCATACTTGACTCCTTCCTCTTCCCTGGCTTGCAGAAGGGTATTTTCAGAACTCATCAGCCTGGTATTGAGGGGGAAAAATCGGTAGGGAAAACAGTTTCAGAAAAGCAAAAGATGTATTCTGGCAAATCTCACTGATACTAAGCAAACATAGGTGAAGTTTTCACTGACTTACTAAATCTTTCCTCAAGCTACCAATTTAAACTTACAAAGTGAATTATAACTGCTTAGTCAAAAAATTTAGGCTTTATATCCCTGTGTGAAGTCACTGTTTTCTTGTGTTTTCACATAAAAGAAAATTAGATTTTTAAGTTTCACATGTCCCTTGGTTAGTCCTTTAGGTTCTCTAAAAGTTACTGTATAATCAACTTTGAAAAAAAATTATCTTAAAAGCACCAGAATGTGACTAATGTGTTCAAAGCTTCCTAATTAATATTTACTTAGCAGGACTATGCCCTGAAGTCATTTAGGTGAATTTGAAAACTCTCCCCATAAGCTTTAAAATAGCTGCAGAAAAAATTCAAGAGAAGGAAAAAAGGTAGTTCTGTGGTTTGGGTGGCTGATAAATATTGCGTGTCCAACATTTACGTGCAGCTGCAGTCAGTGAGCTACACACCTGAACACATTTTAACATCCAAGGCTCAGAGTCCCTGTGCCTCAGCTGGCTCTGTGTAACACCAGAGTTCAGAGGAACACCATGAGATGTCTCTAAATCCCCCAACAATTGGCATGTACATAGCTGAAGGATATGCTAATAAAACTCTTCTCTATTCAAGTGATCTGTGCAAATGACACAATATTTAAAAAAAAAAAAAAAAGGAAGAAAAAAGCCTCAATATTTTGTTAATGCAAAAGTCATGTTGAAAGTTTGAAAGAGAAGACAGTTTGAAAGAAAAAATTATAATAGTTTCCTTTTAACACAGAATTCCCCTTTTTTTTTTTGTTTTGTTGGGAGACTGAGCACCATAGCATCCTTAGTTACCAACCTGATTTTTCTTCATAATTATTTTACTTATTACAGGCTAATAACAGGACTAGTGGTAAGACTTTCAGAGTAACAGCTCAAAAATGGAATGGTTATTTTTTCCATGTAAGACTAATAGGTCCCCTCCCTTCACTAACTATTTTGAAATTAAGGGCACAACTAAAGCACAACAAACATATTCTGGAAGTGCTTAATCTTTGACCTTCTGATAAAGGAACTGAAATTCATGTAAATCCATACATGGGCCATCTGCTTCTTAAACTGCCAGCATGTCCAGAGATTACAGAATATAACTTCACCTCCTGTGGGAAGCATCAGAAAAATCTGTGCCATAGGAAAACAGTGAGAAGTTTCATTTAAAATTACCGTGAATAGGTTTGACAGGATCCAGGATCTGTTATTTCACCTGAAATATTTCTTCTCTTGACTTTAACGAGCATGAAGCCTGAACGAACTGGATCTGACCACCAGGTAGCAGATCATCAAACCAGGCAAAGGCTGCTCAGCCACAGCTGTTTGTCAGTGGCAGCACAACAGGCTGCCTGTTTAGATGTTGATGTGTCATTGCCAGCAGCTCTGAACTGAGTAAGAACTAAGTCAAAATTAGCTGAAGTCAGGGATGAGGTCAAATGCAAGAGTACAAGCCACAGGGGACAAGGTACAGACTCCAGCACCCTTGCAGACTTTATTATTTTTTAATATTTTGATTTACAAGCATCTACATGCAAGGCAACATTTTGTCCCACACTAAGCATATCTAATGCAGAACTAAAACGCTCCAAGAGACTATCTTTAAATGTCTTGTTCACCAGGCTTTTTCCCTCCCAGAAAAAAAATGCAAACCCAAAGCTTGTGTCTTTTTGTACCATCTGCTGCATGCTTACCCAGAACTGGTTACCCAGGCTCTGCAGGCAGCAAATAAAAAAATCCTTAGGATTATGTTAATTGTTCTTTGATGAGTCTATAATTAGTTGACCAGCTCACTGAAACCTCAGATAGAGAGGTCCTTGAAAAAGCAAAGCTAATTTTTAGAGCTTTACAGACGCACAAAAGAAATCTGGAAAAATATCAAATGGAAAAAAACCTCAGTTTGACATTTCACACCCTTCTGCATGTGCCCAGAATAGCGCTGCAAAGGATTCGGACTTGTGAGCAAACAGACACGACAAATTGCCAGTTTAACAAACCCAGACACAGCAATCCATAGACTTACATTGCTCACTGAAGGAAATCACTGTGACTCCATGGCTGTCAACAAAGCTGTACCAATTTACATCAGTCAAAAACCTGGCCTTCCATTAGCCAAAGTTGGAAACTGCCTCCTTCTCTTCCATTTTTCCCTTATTTCAAGAAAACATGAGGCTATTCATGCCAAAACATATTACTGGCTAAAACTGGTCTTATCCTACACTTGAATGTATTTAGCCAAACACTGAAATTCAAACTCCTTTCAGAAGAAATCTTTAATCTTGTTTTATCAGAATAACTGCACCAGAGGATAAATGTGACTGAACCACTGATGAGTTAAAATGAAAGCGATTAGAAGAATACAGTCTCAAAATTATCTGAAATATTTCCTGAAATTCAAACCATAAATCTGCACTTCTTTCTCTGTGAAATCTGGTTGAAAAATCTCAGTTGATGTCAGCATCATGAAATGACTTATAGCTCCTAAACCCTAAACTGCACCGGAAACAACATCTTGTGTGCCCGACCAAAACCTACTGAGAATTGTAAATATAAAAATAGGATGTCTGCACAACTTTTTTTTTTTTTTTTTTTTTTAGAGCTATGAAATGTCTGTGCTGGAGTTATTCAAGATTTGCAGGGAGGGTTTTGCTGAACAGGAAACATGTTTATCTCATATCTGGTCAGTCCTGTAGAGCTTGAAAACTGATTCAGATCTCAGACCTAATAAACTATTCAGCAATTTCAGACACGACTGTAGGAAATCCAGTGGGTTTCATGTCTAGTTATAAACTTGAACCTCCAAACATGTTCACAGAAAGGATTACCAAAGTTTGCAATGATGTAGGGAGTCTGAACTGATTTATGATTTTCAGTGCAAATGAAGGGACAGTACAATCAGAGACTGATTTAAAATCTTCTAGTCACATGGGTACAGCCATCGAAGACAACCACAGCAGGTGAAGGTGGAAATGGCACAAGAAAGGAGAATCCAGGTTACGAGGAGATTTGTGGTCATGCAGAAGAGAGACAGCAGAGCCAGGCAATGGGAGCTCCTCAGCGTTGGGACAGGCCTTATGTTCCCATGTCCCAGGGCAGAGAACAAGGCATTTACCCAGAACAACTCTGTGAATGCAGGGAACATGCCTAAGGCATCCGTTCCTCTTCCCATGCAACAACCTTCTGATCCTCCTAAAGCATTTTGTTCATTTTACACATTGAGGGTACAAATCTGCATGTGGTATTGGGTCACGTGTCTGCAATTTTGGCAAGCACAAACTACACTGGCTTCTGAACACAGCAGTACTCCAGCCCTAATGCAGCGAGTGGAGAAGAAATAGTATTATAATGTCTATCTAAAACTAGCAAAGCCAAGTGAAAGTCTGCAACATCTACAAAATTAGATACAGATTTTCAAAATGTGTTGGATTCAGGCAGATTTCCTTTGGTATAGTTGCATTTCTCTTACAATTAGGCCCACAGGCATTTTGATAAACAAGCTGAATATGCTGGTGACTTCACGTTTGTGCATAAGTATTTTCCTCCAACTGTTGCCATTTAGTAATTATTTTAATTGCACCGAATTAATATTTTCTTTCTCAGCATTATCAGCAAACTGATATAGCCTATATATTACACATCCACACATTTCATTGCAGAACTCTTTCTGTAGTCTGACTTTCAGGGCTAGATTTTGAGTTTAAATTGTATCCAATGAAACTGTGAAGGTATTGTTAATAAGTGTGCATGGACAAGGGAACTAAACAAAATCTGAAATCTCTGCACACTGGATTTGCTAAAATAAACAAAGTGAAGCCCAGATAGGCCGGGTATGCCTTCTTATCTCCCATGAATATAAAATATTTCCGATGATCCATGGAGAATTTTGATTAGCTTTGACTGTTTTTGAAATGCCAGGCATTTTTAATCTATACTATATTTAGCACTCAGGAATGGTTTTAAAAGTTTCTGAACCCTTCAAATACGTTGCCTAGGAGCAGCCACCTCGTGAGGATGCTGCTATATTTAGATACAGGTGCTGCTTTTGGTATTAACTCCTTTTCTGAGATGGGAACAATCTCTACAGTCAGGAACAATTTTCTGCTAGTACCATGTTGGACAAACTGGACAACAGACATGGGTTTGGGGATAGTTCCCCATGCAGAGAAATGGTGATGGAAGCAGACACTGGCAGAACAGAGTTCTTCGTGTCATGGCTCTTTTCATGCAGAAGACTGAAATCAGCCTCACCAAGAAAAAATTATTTTTCTCATGGAAGAATTGAAATAGAAACATAAAAAAAAAAAAAACCCCAGTGTAGACAGTCTAATCAGCTTTTTATAGTACAGGTCAGGCTTGTAGGCATTGCATGTTACAGAGTCTAAAGGAGCAAATGCTGTACTTAGTAAGGCACAGAAGACTTTGGAGGAGGCTGATTCGATCCATCTGTTCCAGTGCACCGAACAGAGGATTTTTTTCAGTGGTGTATTTTTTTACCTCTTATACAATTTATTATTTTTTCACTTTAAATAGTCACAGTCACTGCGTCTTGGGAAATTTTATATGATAGGTGCAGCAAAAGGAGCGGCATCTACAACTGTTTGTTTATATTTTGGTTTCATTGCTCTTTCACCAAACTGATCTTCACAGGCAGCTAACCTTGAAAATAATATTTATTATCAGCTTTTAAACTTGGGAGTTTCCTGAGTGCTGTCTTTCAAGAGGGAAACAAATTTTCTCCGGTGAGAAAACACAGCATCTCTCCTGGCTGCTGCAGGTTTCTGCTCCAAGCAAGCAGGAGAGTGGGTGGTATTCAGTCTAGAGCAATACTTCAAGCTTTTTGGTAAATAACACATCACAACTTTTGCATTAATTTGAAGCATATGCCAACAGGCATTTTATTCTCTCTGCTTGAAAGTCAAAATCTCTACATCCTGAATAAAAATGTCATTAATTATGTATTTAGGAAGTATGGTTAAGCTACCTAGTTATTTGACGGAAGTAATCCAGTGGGATATTCAGTATCTAGGCATAATAATCTGTTTCAAGTCATAATTAGATGCTCTTAGTTGTTTTGGGGTTTTTTTTTTGAAACTACTTTTAATATCACTTTTCTGATGTTGAAACTCTGTGTACTGGAACACTAAAGAATTATTTCACTTATAATTTAAAATCATACCTCTTTTTGAAGCTGTAGATATGGTGTCTATACAGATAAGTAGCTGCTTGCTCCATGCATTTTGATGGACTAATGCTACAGGAATTATGATTACGCTTTTACATGACAAATCATCCTTTAGTAATTATTTTTACAGAATAGATTTCAACATACTTTTCATATAGTCTTTGTCCTCTCATGAACACCTTCACCTCGTTGTCCAGTGGAAACGTCCCGTCATCTTTTCTGAAGCGGTAGAACAGCTTGACATCCTTGAATTCTTTATGCTCATCACAGACTGAAACGTAATTCAATTAAAAAAAAAAAATCACGCACATGTTAAGGAGTTGAGGATCCATTTACCAGGTACCGCTGCTGAACTTCAAAGCAAGCACATATAGAGTCCAATCTCCTATATGTCTGAGTGTACAACTTTGCTCAGTTCTAATAACCAGTGAAAGGCTGAAGAAAACTTTCAGACAGGTAACCAAATTTCAAGATGAGGGAGATAAGTGTCCATCAGATTTGCGAGTATTGCTGCAAAAATAAAGAACAAAAAAGCATCCTTCTGCTACATACCCAGAACACCTTTTGCTGAAAACAGTCTGTTGGCTTGTTTGTTTAAAAGGCCACCAGAGTAGAATGCCCAATAATTTTAAGGTTTATCAAACTTCTTAAAGTTATTAGTATCAATTAGCAATGCTGTATGAAACCTGAGCCTTGCTAAAGAAACAGTTAAAATCAAAGCCTTCTCCCTCTTCAAATGGTCTCAGTTGCTCTGCCATGCCAGCTAGCAAGTGGTAGGTATAATAAGGAGCACACTGGGAAATGCCAAATTAGGTCTGTAAGACAGCAGCTGATGATGGGTACATGGGGTACATTCCTTACCAGACAAGCAGAGTCTGGTACCCCTTTCACTTGATAGGGGAGCTGAAGGGGTGCTCGAGCATCCTGTAGAACCTGATTGTACCTCCCTGAATTTACCTATCCTAGCTCACTTTCTAAACTATTTTATTAGAGCGCAGTACATGAAAATTTTCAAGAGACACCTGCTCCATGTGTAATATACACACATACATATATATGAAATTCATGTGGAAGCTACAATGTGCAATTGGATCCTGTGGTAGAAAACACTTTGAGGTTGTCAGAGCTTTAAATAAGCGTTCAGCAATAAGGCCTCTATTGCTCAATTAAATTAAGTCACTCAGGCATCCACGCAACTCTTCACTGACATTTTCTCAATAGAGGATTAAGTAGTCAGATTTGAATACCCTATAATTACTTTATTCTTTAACTATCTGCCATGAGTTCCAGTTTCCATAACTACACAGAATTTTCATTTAATAGCCAGGCAGAAGCTCTAGAAGTGGCAGTCATTCAATATGTGCATTTCTGACTCTAATTAAGGTGTTGTTAATGTACTGCAGATAGCAGCAGCATTGCTGCACATACAACGACCTCTGCATAAAGTCAACATTTCGCAGTCGCTCAGTTTTCTCTTAAAAAAAAGAAACAAATGGTACATTTGACTTCTTGATATGGGTAATACTATAGGCTTGAAATCGAGGCCTTGGGTCTTCTTTGCTGGTGTGCTTCCCAGCCTTTCTGTGCCCCAAAAGGCAACTAAATGCTACCATTGAATTGGAAGTCTCCTTTTCATCAGCATAAATTGTTATTCAAGAAGCTGAAAGAAACAGATCTCAAATAGACAACAAGTTTAGGAGAAAATTAATCAGGGCACAGCCGGACCACTAACTTCTTGCAGCTGTACCAGCACTAATGTTTGTGCAGCTGGTGTGAGGGACAGGGCCAGGGAACTAATCCACGTGAGAAAAATGATCTTTTTTTTTTTGCTGGCTGATTTTTCAGATGGGTTTTTCAGCTGGAGAACTGTGCTCTTAGGAGTAGGGAAGTGAGGGCAGCAGGGAGAGGGGGGGCACAATCCAGCTGGGGCTGCTCTGGAGGCAGGAAAGCAGCATCACAGTCTCCAGTAACTTACTCTGCTACCTTGGGTCACTCCACACCTCTTTAGCCTCTCATGTCCTTCAGGGCACAGGGGACCTTGCACAGCAGCACAGTCCAAGGGAGGTGCTCCATTTCTGGCAGGGAAAAGATCCTACCTGTCCTATACTTGGTTGAAGAGCAGGAGTGGGATATCCCTTTGTTTCACAAGCACTCAATAAAATTTAGCTTAGAACTTTTTAGCAGCTGATATTGCACTTACCATGGTGGATAATGCTGTGATCCAGTAATTTCTGCACCAATTTAATGGCTGTCTCTCTGTCAGAGGCCTCTTTGTGGTCAATCAGCCAGTCAATCAGCTCTTTGGCAACGAAGCAATTAGGGTACGTTTTGAGGTGATGTCGCCGATCTTTAATGACCTTTTCTTCGTGCAGTCGGAGCCTGGGGGTCAAATCACCTTATGAGAATCATTTGCAAAGAGCCTTTGTAACTAGAAAGACTAGGACAAGAGTGGAGCAGCAGCATCTAAGCCCTGCTCAAAGGATGGGCTTTGAAGATGTTGGGTAGAAGAGACCTAGCCACACCTCCACTGCTGGTATCTCTCAACCAAGACACCCACAGCAACCATTTGTTACAACTTCAAACCCCATAATTGGAAAACCTTGTTTTCTGCTCAGTGGAAAAGTATAAAAACTAAAGAACAGAACAGCATACTAAATCCATTAAAATACTTCCTGTAGGTCAATTAAACTGGCAATAATTTGGAATTAATTTTCCCACATTATCTCTAATACATTCCATGTTACTCTTTTATTTTATAGTATCACTGCTGTAGATTCTTTTTTCTTTGTTATCTCATTCATTTTTTCAGCTGTAGTTTCTCCCTTGGTTGGGTAAGAGCATTTTGCCTCCAGCTGCACAACAAGCATAGCATTTGTGATTTAAAATTCAGGTGTGAAGCTGTTCCAACACAATGCTATCTATCATTAAAAAGCTGCCTCCTACTTCAGATCAAGGAGAACTGATTTTTCACTTGAGGACCTGCTGGCAAATGCTCTCTAGCTGCAAAATCTCCCTCATCATCTTGAAAGCAAGTGGGTTGGCTGTTTTTGAGATGTTTGGGTCAGAATGCAAGATCCTGATTAGAGTAATACCTTGCTAATAAAGGTTCGGGGGATCTGCATCTTTATTTTTAGTCTTTTTTTTTTTCCCCTAATTAAACAAAATAAGCAACATTACCAATAAATTAATCGATAGAGGTTTCTAAAGTTTTTTTTAAGTTTTGTACTTTATTGTTCCATTTTAATGAATCATATCAGAAAATCTTTTTGTAGTGCCATGCCTATACCCCAGTTCTGAGGAAAGCATAGAAACCACATTGCTTGGGCTCCTGTCACAAACAAAAACAATGCTGTTCATTTCCAAATGGCCAGGATCCTACCTTGTAAACACACTCACTGACTTCAAAGGGTCCTGAGTAATGCTACAATAACTGTAGGGGGTACAAGGGTGATAACAGAGAAGAGTGTTAACATGAGCCTCCAGAAGCACAGAGCAATTTTCCTCATGTGATTCCTGTATGAAATGTGAATCCAGTATGACACAATAATTTCTCTTTAGAATCAAAAGAAGGGAAAATATATGGCTGAAATCAGTGAAGAAAATAATATCATGGCATTAGGCAAGGCTTATGTAGGCATCTACCTAAAAATAGTAGCAAAGTAATGTTTCTGTTCTGCAGCATTTAGCCTTGAACTGCACTGGAATGGCCAATCTGTGAAGTTAATTCAAAACCAGCTTTGCAAACATCATTAAAAAAATCTAAGAGTTTTATATTAAAAATACTGATAAATCAGATTAGTATTCTGTAAAGAAATGCTGGTAAATATCCCACGCATTGTGAAATTCTCTGAGCTAAAATATCTTTGCTTATAGCATATTTTCCAGATGTGCTCTAACAGCTGTTGCCATGCTCAGAAAGAAAAGCCGACAGAGTTTTAATTATAGAACATGCAATTATCAGTATGTCTGATGGAGCTTCACAATTAAAATACATTCCAGGTTCTGTTAATGTTCATCCAGTCTTATGTCATACAATAATCTGCAAGAATACAATTAGAAAAAGAGTGTATAATACATATGCAGACAGCTCAACCCAGCTTTCAGACAGCAGTGTAAGTCTAAATGGCTGCAGTTCAGCTGATACAAGAGGGAAAGCCCCTTCTTTGTCCACATGTTGCATGGGAGTGTGACAGGACTGGTCTGGCATTCCACAAACATGTCAGTAGTCAAGAGCACCAGAAATGAGCATTTAGGTCTTAAATTATGACTGCAGGCTTTCCTGCAGTTGGTCGGCTTATAAATATTTCAATTTCTCTGTCATGTCAAAGACACAAGTTCCCACTACAATCTTCTTCCTCACTCAGAGCATTCACAGAGTCTCTGTATATGCCTTTTTGCCTGTACTCATAAAACTCACAGAAATCTTAATTACTTCCACCCACTTGCAAAAGTGGATCCAAATTTGCTAAGAGGTTATAAAATCATTAAGTCAATGAGACCACGGCCACATACGCCTCAAGATACCTGAAAAAAACAAATTTATTTACAATTTCCAAATGGATGTGGGAACCTTTGCAGCAGTCTATACCAATTGTATCCATACTGAATTATGTCCATGCTAATCTATTTGGAACAAAGAACAAAAGGGAAATTCAGGTTTTCTCCTTGGTGATGTGTGTGTTCTTTCTGTCAAGGCTCTCTCACCTCTACAAACCTGCTAAAAATCAAACTACATGGAGGAGAAGTAGCTCAGTAAATTGGCATTGTACTCAGCGTAAACTACAAATACAGAAGCCTAAGGTAAAGTTATTGAGCATATATTGCAGTATACAAATCCAAAGTTTAGGCAAAAATTCAAAAAATGTGTCTGCGTTCATAAGTATTTATCAGGAGACCAATCAAATGGGTTAAAAAGGAATAAAACGCACCAGTGAATGCAAATAAACTGGAGCCAATGCCCACATGAAGTGGTAAATTCTTTATCCCTTGGCATTGGGAAACTTCTCATTCCAAGTCCTTGATGTTTTCTCTTTAAATAATGTTAATCACTTTTTGTCAGCTAGTCTACATGATGACTGGAAAAGACCTAACATCAAACACATTTCTCTCACTAGAAAAAGTTTTTCTCAAGAGCTGATTAGGAGAATTAGCTGACTGACAAACCCTGACCAGTTTGAGAAGAGAAGGGGGAGAAGAGAGAGGGCAAATAACAAGATGGTGATGGGGAGATACCTTGACAAAACCTTTGAAAAGTTGACCCTTTTTGTACAACTTAATAGCTGAACATCAGAAAATGACGTACACCAGTACGTCATCCATACATAATTCCATGCATTAGTCAAGACCACCTGCCAGATTTTGCACGTGGGGCCACAGTCTGCCCTACTTGGAGAAAACAATGTGACATCAAAAGCATTTGAGCAATTGCCTGTGAACTGTAAGAGGCACATGCAACTCTTTAATATTTACAAACTGATATCCATGACTCTTACTCATGCTTACAACAAATAAAGACAGGCTGTATTTGCAAGCATGCATGCCAGAACAGTTTCCTGGGGGCTTGTGCAAAGAGGAGTTGCTCCTAAATAACAGTATGTAGGGACTCCTGCTCCATATAGAAGTGCCTTTCTCCTGTGTAACGGGATAACCTGGAGGACTGATTTGCAGTAAGTGTGTTCAGAGCTATCTGGAACAATGCTGTTTGTTGAGAGGCATTTTCATAGAATCACAGAAACACGGAATCAGCTGGGTTGGAAAGGACCTCTTGAGATCATCAAGTCCAACCCCTGATCCACTACCACTGTGGTTACTAGACCACGGCACTAAGTGCCACATCCAGTCTCACTTTGGTAACTGTCAGAAAAGTCAAGATAATGGAAAAATCTAAATCTTTGCCTAGAAATGAAGGATCAGGCACTAACCTGGGACAAAACTGCTTTTGCAGCTACATGAAACTTGCATTTTGTTTCCAGCCAACAGGGACATTTTTATTTCCACCAGGGACATTACGCATTTTGAAGTTTCTTGTATCTTTTTCTGGACCAATGGATAAGGACTTATGAGACAGGGCCTGCACAAGAAGTTAGCTTTCCTTTTAAACCCAGGGAAGGCCAGCCTGCTGGATAAAGACAGTAATTACTATCATTAACTGGACCATGCTCCAAATATCTCACCCAGCTATTTCCCTTTATTAAGTCTAGTAGTTTGTGCTTGGCTAACATAGATCTTCCAAAGCAGTATCCAATCCTGATTTCTATGCATGAAAAAAAACTAAAATCCTCCTGTTCTTCTTGGTAATTTCCTGAATAGTTTATCTGCCATTTCCTAGTACATCCTATATAGTCTCTCCCTACATTTATCCTAGCAAGGCTCAGAAACAACGTGCAGAGGACAGGTTGGTCCCTGACACTCTAAACAGACAACATGGTATGAAGATTTTCATATGGAGCTCCACTCATTCACCCCTTTTAAAATTTCTGAAACAACCATACACACACACATAAAGATGTATATATCATAGAACTGTAGAACAATTTGGGTTGTGTTTTGGTTGTGGCCTTTAAAGGTCATCTGGTCCAACCCCCCTGCAATGAGCAGAGACATCTTCCACTGTATCAAGTTGTTCAGAGCCCCTTAAACATGAATATTTCCAGGGATGGGGCATCTACCACCCTCTGGGCACCTTGTTCCAGTATTTTAGCACCCTCATCACAAAAAATTTCTTCCTTATATCTAATCTGAATCTACCATTTTTAAATGTAAACCATTACCCCTTACTGTATTGCAATAGGCCCTACTAAAAAGGTGATCCACATCTTTCTTTTAAGCACCCTTTAAGTATTGGAAGGCCACAATAAGGTCTTCCTGGAGCCTTCTCTTCCCCAGGCTGTTTTTCTCTTTTCACAAGAGGTGCTCTATCCCTCTAATCATCTTCATGGCCCTTCTCTGGACTGACTCCAACAGGTTGATGTCTTTCCTGTGCTGAGGAACCCAGAGCTGGACACAGTACTCCAGGTGGTGTCTCAACAGAGCAGAGGGGTTGGATCCCCTTCCTCGACCTGCTGACCACACTGCTTTTGATGCAGCCCAGAATACAGTTGGCTTTCTGGGCTGCAATCGCACATTACAGTGTCACACAATCACAGAATACACCAAGTTGGAAGGGACCCACAAGGATTACAGAGTCTAACCCTTAGCCCTGCACATGCCCATCCCCAAGAGTCACATCATTGTCACATCATGTCCATCTTTTCATCCGCCATCACCCCAAGTCCTTCTCAGCAGGGCTGCTCTTGATTTGTCCATCCCACAGCCTGCACTGATATAGCAGGGGTTGCCCTGACCCAGGCACACACCTTGCACTTGGCCTTGTTGAACCT